GAGAGGTCGGGACCCGCTGGCCAGGGGTCAACGTCGCCTGTTTCTGCCGTGCTCGAAAGGCCAGGACCCGCTGGGCAGCGGTCAGCGTCGCCACGCCATGGCCGAGCAACGGTGCAGATGGACCATGGGCCGAATCCCATGGAAGGCAAGCAGTCATCTATCAAGCTCACGCTGAAGGAGCGAGGGTATCTCGCGTCCGTCGTCACCGACGGCCAGTGGTGCCAGAGCCGCAAGTACGAGAAGGGCATGGCCTCTGACGACTCGTGCTTGCTGTGCGGCGAGGTCGGCACCCTGCTCCACAGGCACTGCGGCAGCTGCGCAGGTTGGCCGCCAGAGCTGAAGCTGCCCGACAAGATGCGCGAGCTGGCGGCGAGGTCGGACATGCTCGAAGTGCGCTGCCTGCTGGAGCGCGTGCTGTGGGCGGCGCCGACTGGCATCGTCAAGCCAGTCCCGTCGCCGCACGTCTGCTGGCTGGGCGAGAGCGACGGCGTCTTCCCCTCTGGTGAGCTCTACCTGGACGGCTCGCAGTACGAGGGCGACTTCGAGCAGTACGCGAGCGTCGCCTGGGCCGTCATCGCGCTCGAGGCCGACGCCGACGCCTTCCTGCGCGGGGCGTCGGGGATGCTGTGCGAGCCCCACGTCGACATCAACGGCGGCGAGCTCATGGCGCTCCTGATGGTCCTCAGGCTCGCGGTGCCGCCCGTCACCGTCGTCGTGGACAGCGGCTTCGTGCACCGCGGCCTGCTGGAGCTGGGCCCGAGGCGCACCACCGCGCACGGCGCGGCGTGGGCCCACCTCTGGAGGGAGGTTTGGGCCAAGCTGGAGGACTTCGGCGGCCTGGGCGACGGCGGGCTGAAGGTCAGGAAGGTCCCCGCCCACCAGACGCAGAGGGCGATGGTCGCCCACGGGAAGATCTCGTACCGCGACTGGCTGGGCAACGGCATGGCGGACAAGGCCGCCAAGTCGGCGGCGGCGGCAGGACGGATCCGCCATCAGGATCGCAGGAGGCTCGTCATGGCTGACAAGCTGGTCGAGGGCGTCGCGCTCTGGGTGTCGGCGGTGGGCGGCGCGCTGGACGGCAGGGACACCACCCACCGCGTGGCGAAGCCACAGCGCCCCGCGCCGAAGGCGCTGCTGGCGCAGCCGGCCGTCAGGCTCTCCTGTGCCTGGCGCGGGGAGCCTGGCAAGCGGTGGTGCAGCCGCTGCCGCTGGGTGGAGCGCGCAGGCGAGTGCCCAGGCACCATCGTGCCAGCGGCGCTCCAGCACAACGCTGAGCTGGCCGCCAGGGGGCTCAGCACGCACGTGCTCGTGCGCATCGAGCCCGAGCGAGACGTCGAGCTGCGCCGCGACATGCCGCTGGTCGCGTGCGCCGCCTGCGGAGCCGTGGGGGCGGCCAGGGCCTCCAGCTTCGCGCCGCCGTGCGGCCACGCGTCGGCCAAGGGGCTGCTGGCCGTGGCGCGCCTGGAGAAGCGGCTCGCCCCAGCGATCTCGGGCAAGGTCGCGGTGGCCATCAGCCCGCTCAGGAGTGAGGGGTGATGGCCAGCTCCCCCTTCCTGTCCTGCGGCGTGGTTGGTACGTCCAGCTGCCACGTCGCTGGAAAGGGGGAGCTGGCGCGACGGGCCGACGGCCTGAGAGGCCCGTGAGGCCGTCGCGCTGGCGGCACGCCGAGCCCGAGGGGCCGTGGCGTGCGGGCGCTCGCTGAGAGCGCGAGCCCGTCGCGCGTGGGGCGCGCGGCGAGCGCGAGCGGCGGGTCACACGCGCCGCTTGAGGCTCGTGCATCATCCTCCTCCTCCTCCTCTCCCTCGTTTCGGTAGGTCCCCACATCCTAAATCAGGTCCCTGCTTTCTCTGCATACCCCCCGCGTAGGAAGCACCCCAGTAAGCCCTCCCTGTTCTCGTCTCCTCCTTCATCACCATTATCAGCATAAGCATCATCGCCGTCGTCAACAGCATGTCATCCACTCACACAGTCAAAAGTGATCACCATCATCCTCCATCACCGTGGTCATCATCACCAACAGCACATTGCAAGCATCGCACTCACGTCATCGACTCTGCCACCGTCATTCCCCAACACACTCACGCACTCGCCCCCCCCACCCACACACACACACACTTTTTGCTTTGAGATCCATGCGAAGCCCAGTGGCTGGCGGAGGCAGGGGGAGAGAGGAGGAAGGGGAGGGGCAGGAAACGGGCCACGGGCGCCGACGCGCCAAAGGGCCAGCGGCCGCGCGCAGCGAGGGCGCGCGCAGCCCAGCACACACACACACACACACACCTTCACACACACACACACACCTTCACACACACTCATTCCAACACTCCAGCGTCCTGCATCTGGAGGACGCCTCGAGCGGGAGCCTCGTCCACGCGTGGCCCGCGAGGCGTTTTCTCGAGCGCGGGGGCCCTCCTCATATTACATGGGGCCCGAGCTCCACGCCAGGAATCCGCGGCGGCCGCTGCCGAGGGGGCCTCCTCCGAAGCGGTCGGAGGCCTCCGAGGAGGCAGCTGTGAAGGGGCCCTGGGACACACAAATAAATACACACAAATGCTGGGATTCCCGGTATTTCCTCATATTTTCTGGGTTTGTGTCTTCCCCCCCACTTCCCATATTTTCCCGCATTTTCCTGGGAGTCGACGATTCATTGTGTCTGTGTGTTTCCTCCCCTCCTGAATCTGGAGAGGCAGGAGGGCTTCCAAGAGGCCCCCTCCCCCTCCCCCTGCCCTCTCGTCGGGGATCTTCTGACCCAGGTCGATCCAGACCCTGATCGGCCAGGCCTTGCAGAATCCTGCAGGATCCTGCACCCAAGCCCGGGTCAATGCGACCCTGGCCCTGCAGGATCCTGCAAGGTCGGGCGCTCTGGCTGACCCCCGCTTGCACTGACCCCCGTCTCGAGGCTCCCTATCTCGGCGGGCCGCGCTCCTCGAGCCGCCCCCGGCCCCACCCGCAAACCCGCTCGAGACCTTCTCGGACACCCCACGGGCCCCCTCCTGTCGAGGCCGCGGTGCCGCGACCGGCCGCCACGACGAGAAGGGGGGTCCCCGGAGAACTAGAACCCGGGAGGGCGAGGGCAGGACACATGTCAGCTTTGCTTTGTCACCCACGGTCGCTGCGATGAGAATGGGAAGGGGAGAAGAAGAGCAGGAGGAGAAGGAGAAGGCCGAGGACAAGTGCAAACCACAGGCGCATCAACTATGTTGCAGTACGCCCTCACTGCAAAGTCCCTGTTCACACGTCCTTGAAACAATACCTTTTCACCACTGGAAGTGCCCCGTTGGAAGATAACCGTCTGAGAATCCTCAATCGCGCCAAAACACCACTCCTTGGACTTCAACGCCGTGAATAAAATTTATTGTGTTGTCGTGGCGACCCTATTTCGCGCCGGAACACCAGTCCTGGGACATCAACGCCGCGAATCAACATGACTGTTGCGCCCTTGCAGCCCTCTTACGTGCCCGAAATTCAACCCTGGGGCGTCAAATACAAGAACCTATTACTCCAATGTTTGATGCGAATTGCGCTCCTTCTTCCCCCCACCTTTGTTAATTCAAGCTTCGCGCGGCCCGCTTAGCTTCGACCGGAAGAGGTGCGCTTAGGCGAACCTAGTACCCCAGTGTTTAATGCGAATCTGGGCTGCGCGAGGGTGATAGCCCCATTTTGAAAAACACCCGCTCCGCATCCGTGCAGCTCCTCAACACTTCTAAGACGACTGTGTGCGGCGCTGGCGCGGCGTTGAGAGCCCTCGAACCGTGAAGCTCGTGTAAATTATTAAGACGAGCGCAAACACATGTTACACGAAAATCATCCTCGACCCGTGAAACGCATTCAAACTTTTGGAACAAATGCGGGTTGCGTTAACGCGAGAGAAACATATTGAACATGGCCCGCCATCCATCCTTGAAGCTCTTGCAAACTTGCTGCGCGAATGATCCTGGCGGTGGGGCGAGACATACATTTTGAAAACAAATCGCCCTCCGTCCGTGAACCTCCCGCGAATTGCAAGACGAATGTGCGCGGCGCTAAGGCGAGAACTACATGTTGAAACTGGGCCGCCCTGAATACGTGACCTCATACAAGCTAGTGGGACGAATGCGCGCGGCACTAATTCGAGAATAACATTTTGAAAACCACCCGCCCTCCACCCGTGAAACATCAGCTGACAATTTTCACAAAGAAGGCGGGGGACAGCAATGGGAAAACAATATTTTCAAAAAACAGCCCACCCTCCATACGTGAAGCGCGTGAACACTGTTGAAACGAATGCGCGCGGCGAAAAGGCGAGACCCAAACTTTGAAATCCACCCGTCATCCACCCGTGAACTTCCTTGCAAACTGTACAGACGAATATCCGCGGCGATCAAGCGAGAACCACATTGTGAACACCACCCGCCAAACATCCGTGAGCCACTTGCAAACGTTTTGCATGAATGCACGTGGCGCTAAGGCGAGAACCACATGTTGAACATCGGCCGCCCTTCATGCGTACACGCCTGCGAAGCGTTAACGAAAAATGCACGCGGCGATCAAACAAAACCGACAATTTGAAAATCAATCGCCCTCCATCCGTGACCCTGCTGCTTCTAAACAAACGCTTCACGACCATATTTTATAAAAACGTGACAAACGAATCGCACGGCCGCCCTACCGACACGTCGCGGGGTGCGATAGTGAGGGGTAACTCATCACGGTTAGGAACGGAGGAGCAAATGGGGAGGATGAAGATAAGAGAACGGTGGAACCGGAAGGAGGACCAGGAGGAGGAAGAGGAAGAGGAAGAACAGGAAGAGAGAACGGACGGAGGAAAGGGAGGATGGTTTGAGGATGAGGATGAGGAGAAGAAGGGTGAGGAGGAGGAGGAGGGTGAGGAGGAGGAGGAGGAGGAGGAGGAGGAGGAGGAGGAGGAGGAGGAGGAGGAGGAGGAGGAGGAGAGGGAGGAGAAGGAGGAGGAGGGGGAGGAGAAGGAGGAGGAAAAGGACCCCTTTCTGCGCACCGCTGGCCTTGGCGCCCGCCTGGACCGCGGCCCCCATGCTGGCCAGGGCCACCGCCGCCTGACGCAAAAACTGGAGAAGCGAGACAGGGAGGAAAAGCGGGAACGAGGAGGGACGATGATGATGCTGATGATGATGATGATGACGATGATGATGATGATGATGATGATGATGATGATGGTGGTGGTGGTGATGACGATGATGATGATGATGATGATGATGATGATGATGATGATGATGATGATGATGATGATGATGATGATGCTGTTCATGATGATGATGCTGATGATGATGATGATGATGATGGTGATGGTGGTACTGGTGCCAATGGTGATGGTGACTAGGAAAAGGATGAGGAGGAGGCAGAGGAGGAGGAGGAGGAGGAGGAGGAGGAGGAGGAGGAGGAGGGGGAGCAGCAGCGGCACGAGAAAAGGATGGGACGAGGAGGGGGAGGGGGCAGGAGGGGGAAGAGGATAAAGAGGAGGAGGAGGAGGACAGTGAGGGGGAAGAAGAACGAAAACGAGAACGATGATGACAGTGAGGGGGAAGAAGAAGAGGAGGAACTGGGAGGGGGAGCGAGGAGGGAGGGAGGGGGAAAGGGAAAGGCACAGGAGGGAGGAGGAGGAGGGGTGGAGGAGAAGGATGTTGATGATGATGATGATGATGAGGAGGAGGAGAAGGAGGAGGAGGAGGAGGAATGTTATTCATATGGAGCTCCGAAATCATTGGCAGAGTGACACCAGCAGCGGGCGAATCGTACTTGGAGGGCAGCAGTGTAGGCCGAGCACCGGCGACCCAACTCACCCTAGACACGGAAAAAGCGCCCATAACCACACGGATGGGAAACAGGGCAGCGGCGGCTGGCCCCCACCTATGCAAAGGAGCACGGCCAGCACCACGCAACGGCCTCTGCACGAACGGGGGTGGCAGGGCGGCGGGATAACGCACAGAAGCCAACCCGAAACTGGCTGCACGCAAATGCCGAGCACGTGCGATCAGCGGCGGTCGCCACATAGAGCAGCGGCAAGCACCGCTCTGTTGAGCACAAAGCTGAACAACAGGCAACAGCATCCCGTCACAGAAGCGCGTCAGAAAAAAAAGGCCACAGCCCAGGGCGGGCAGGAAAGGGGCTCATCCTGAACCGGCCTAGCGGCAAGGGGGATGCCCTCACCCCGCCGTCCCGATCGAAATAAAGAGAAATGCGCGCAGGAAGTACCACCAACGCACACTTTTGCACCATTCGTGGAGCGCCTTGAGGCAGCGAGAGGGGAGCAGAAGGAGGAGGAGAAGGAGGAGGAGGAGGAGGAGGAGGAGGAGGAGGAAGAGGAGGAGGAGGAGGAGAAAAAAGAGAAGAAAAAGAGGAGGGGCACGCAACGATTTACGTAGTCTGGCGCGCCCGGGCGCGCCGCCAGCCGCAGCCGCAGCGCTTCGCGCTGTGGGGCATCCATGTCACCCACCCGGGCCGGCGGCGCCAGGAGCAAGGCGGCGGCGGCGCGCGGCGGCGGCGCTGGGGCTCACCCGCTGCACGGCCTGCTCGCCAACCGCTGCCGTGTCGGCTCCCAGCAGCGGCAGCGGAGACAGGCCGCCGCCCGGGCAGGCCCCTGGGACGCTGCGTGGGCCCGCCGCGCGCTGCTGGCGCAAAAGGCGTTGGCGGCACCTGCCCCCGCCGCCGTCGCGGGGCGGCGCGTGGGCTGCGAAGCCTTGGCGCGGACGGCCAAGGCGGCCGCGCCATCGCCTTCGCAGGGCGCGCGCCGCGCAGCGCGGACGCCCTGGAGCCGCGCAGCGCGGGCGCACGCGTGGCCGGCGGGCTCCGTCGCCGCGGACGGCCTTCAACACAGCCGGCTCCACGGCTGCCATGGCCCGCAGCACTGCGGCGAGCGCCCCCAGCTCCTGCGCGCACTCCAGCAGCAGCGCACGAGGCGGCAATGAAGGCCCTGGCCGGATGGCAAGCGAGGCGATCGGCGGCCGCGTTGCCGGCGTGGTCCTCCGTGGGAACCACCCGCTATGGGCAGCCGCAGCGTCAAAGTGCGCCTTGACCCGCCGCGCGCGCAGAGCGCCGCTGCGGCACTGTGGGGCAACGAGTTTCCACAGGTCCGCGCGCGCCCACTCCGCAAGGTTCGCCCCGTCGCTGATGGCCGCCGCGTCGCGGCTGATGAAGCGAGTCGGTGACGACGTCGACTGGCCCCCTCGCCAGACCCAGTGCGCGCACCGTCGTGGTGAGCTCCGCCCACGAACTAAGCAATATGCTCTCCGTCCAGTGCTCGACGACAGCCGTCACGCCCGCTGCCGCCGCCGCCGCCTCGATACAGACTCCCCAGCCCGCTGGGGCGCGCGCCGGCCCCGCCTGTCCAGGCGCGCGCCTTGCTGCTGGCCGGCAGACCCTGCGGGTCAGGCAGAAGTGGCAGCGGCAGCGGCAGTCTGGCCTGTTCCGCAAGCGCCGCCAGCCGCTGGGCAGCACCCCCGTGAGGGAGGTCTCAGGCGGCAGACTCGCGCGAACCGCATCGCGATCCCTGCTCGCGGGCCCCAGGGCAGCGGCCTGGGTGGGCTCCCAACACGGGTGCCGCCATAGGCGGTGCTCCAAGTCCTCCGGCGCCGCGCGCTACAACTGGGGCACAGGGGTGGCTGGCCCCACTTCGCAGCCACTGGCTCGGTCACGACGTTCCCGGAAATGGCGGCTCGGAGCGCCCTGGCAGCATTGGGCGCCAGCGCGCCGCTGATCAGCAACCGCCGCGTGGCCCATCTGGCAGTGCCGCCCGCGACGTGCTGGAAAGCCACGCGCCTGTCTGCCAGCGAGAGCGCCCCGCGCAGGGACCACGCTTCGAGCACCACGGCACGGGTGTCTAGCAGGCTCCTGTTGGTGGGGCCCGTAGCCTACGGGGGCGGCGCTTACCCCAGTCCAGCACTCGTCGTCCTCGTCCAGGTGCAGCTCCGCCAGGATCCGGAAGGCGGTGGGCCACGCCCCAGGTCCCGGAACTCCGTGCTCGCGGAGATCCTGGGGGTTTGGTCCCGAACACCGCGCGACGAGCGAGCTGGCGCGACTTCGTCCGATTCAGCTTCCAATCCATTGCCGCCTCGAACGCCTGCCGGAGCTCGTCCGCCGCGTCGCCGCCGGCCTTGGCAGCGACCCAGGCCCAGAGGCCCAGAGGGTGAAGTCGTCCACGTACACCCTGCGGCGGAAGCGGTCGCTCACGCGGCCCGCGCGGGCCATCGTCAAGACTCTGAGCGTGAACACCGCCAGGGAGCAGCCTGGCAGCAGGCCACGCGATCGTCGATCAAGCCGGGCCGATGCCCTTGCCAACTCCCACAGCCGCCAGCGCCAGTCCTGCGACCCCAGGCGGCACCCCTGCCCTGGGCGAGCACGGCAGGCAGCGTGCTCAGGTCCATCTGGTCGCACGCCTTGCGCGCCAGGCCAGGGCAGCGCCCACCATCTCTCTCCGCAGAGGGCGCCGGCCTTCAGCGCGAGGGCGGGCTCCCCGGCGAGGTCCTCCGCGCCGCGCCGCCACTCGTCGCCCCCCTCCACACTCGCACCGCCACCTGGCAACCCAGACCCCCGACGTCGCGATTTCTTCACGGCGTCGACCCCCAGAAGTCTGGGCCCATCCCCTGGGACAGGTTTATCATCCTGAATGGTTGCTTGACAATTCCGAGGCCCGGCGAGGTCCCCTGGAGGCCGAAAAGAGCGAAACAGACAGAAACCCGTCGTGATTTCTCCACAGCGCGAGGAGGTCTGGGGAGGAGGCGCGCCCTGCCAGCGGTCCCGAGTATGGGCAGGGGGCGCCCTCGCCGCCGCCGGACTCTGGCAGCAGGAGGCCCACACACACACACACAGACACACACACACACACACACATAGACACACACAGACGCAGACACACACACACACACAGACAAACACACAAAGACACACACAGACACACACAGACACAGACACACACACACACACACACACACACGCACTCACACACACAAACACACACACACACACGCACGCACACGCACGCACGCACGCACGCACGCACGTCCACGGGCACTCCCGGGTCAGCCTATACTGTCTTACGCGGGCGCTGCCATCCCGGTGGCTCTCCTACTGCCCGGCCTGCGAGCGCGGCCGCACCGCGCGGCGTCGCGGAGGCAGAGGAGGAGGAGGAGAAGGAGGAGAAGGAGGAGGAGGAGGACAAAAGGAGGAGGAGGAGGAGGAGGAGGAGGAGTTCGGGTACCATAAAGCGGAGGAGGAGGAGGAGGCGGGGCCAAACGCACCTGCCTCGGACGCCGTTGGAAGTGCAGCTCAAAACTTGAACACGGACTCGTTACTTCGGGGACCCTCGGACGGAGTCCCACGAGGAAAACCTGCAGCGTGGAGCTGAAGAGGCTCTTCGTCTTATCGAAGTCCTGATCGACAGCCTCCTCGTGCTGCGCCGCACGTTCATTCAGCTCAGCGTGCACCTGCAGCGCGGAGCTGAGGGCACCCTTCATATCGGCGCTCTGCTCGACAATCTCCTCAATCTGCTCCGCTTGTTCCTCCAGTTGCTTCTTGGGTTTGCTGATGTTCAGCGTGGGGTCGCCAGCTGTTCCGTCAGCTCGTCGTTGACCGTGTCAAGGTCGGTCGTGAGACCAGCCAGATGCACCTGGATCTTCTCTTGTAACGTTGTGCTGAGGGCACCCATCAGCATGTCGATGTCTTGCTCGTCCTTCGCCTCAGCCTCGCTCACTTGTTCGTTCAGCTGTTTCTTGGTTGCGATGACTAATGAACGAGATCGGCGAGATGCACATGCGCCTCACGGTTGATCTTGTCAGGACATGTTTTCTCTACGGCCACCGCACCTGCTCTTTCAACTCGCTGTAGACCAGGTCAGTCTATCTTGGTGGCGGCCGTGTGTATATTCCTCGCGTCACGGATCGTCTCGAGGTCGCTCATGTGCACCTGGTCGCCCTGCTGCACATCTTGTCGAAGTGGGAGCCTCAGGGCACAAGGGGGCAACTCTTTCAACATACTCTCGTTGGCATCATTGCGCTCTTCGAGCCCGATCGTGCACGGCACGTGCTCCGCAGACTTGCGCTCCATGGCGCCGCGCTGTAACTTCTGGGACGGGCCGGTCGGCGGCACCACCCGGCCGTCTTCTTCCTCTGCCACTTGGAGGTCGCCAGAGAAGTCTTCGACGTCGGGGTCCGGCGGCGCAGCCCTCGAGCCGCGGCCGTCGACATCGGCACTGGGCCCTGGGACGAGGGGCCCAGCGCTTGGGCCTCCCTGTCGCTGAAGCCGAGAGCATGGATGTCTGGAGCCAACACGACTGCGGGATGGGGCGTGGAGGAAGATGAGGCACGAGAAGGACCCAGCGCAGAGAAGTCCGAAAGTCAAGCCGCACGTGCTGGCAGGAACGGCCAGCAGACACACAGGCGCGACAGCATTCATTCGGCGCCGTTCCCACCTGGCGATTCTCAGGAGGGGGGGGAAGAGGAGGCGTAGGACCAGAGGATAAGGGAGGGGGAAGAAGGGGGTTGGAGGAGCGCCTCGGGAAGCCCGCATGGCTCCCTACGGAGACTCCGAGGACAACGGGCAGCCCTGGCAGGCTGCGGACGAGGAGGAACTGGAGGTGGGAGGAGGTGGACGACGAAGGCGGCGACAACCACCCTTCCCAAGACGAAGCCAGAACGAGGATAACATCGGGTGATGATAGATCGGGGATCTCCGAGATCTGGCGGCTCTGGAGGATATCTCGGGCGCCGCGGTCCTCTCAGAGCGTTCCAGAACGCTCTGGATTGGAGTTATCCTCGTCCTGGCCCCGTCAGATACCATCTTACTGGACGACGGTGACGACGCTAATGGACGCTAGTCGACGGTGGTCGACGCTAAATCGACGCGAATGGACGCTAGCCGACGCGAACCCCCGCCAAATCAACGCTTTCTCACTGATGACCAAACGCTGCTCGACGCTCCCCAACACGGAACGGAATTATCCTCGTCCTAGCCCCGCCAGAAGCGACAACCACCCATCCATCAGAAATCTCAGGTTGCCTTCGGCGCGAGGTCCCCAGACCTCTCGACAGCTTCCCAGGGACCAGCTCTTTGCTGTGGGTCGCTTGCGATGGCCCCGAAGCCCGAAAAAGGCCGCCGGACGCCGCGAAAACTATACGTCAGGTTCGTGTCGTACCGACTTTGGAGTTGGTTTCTGACACCGCGGGGATCGTTCAACCTTGAATGATCGGCCGTTTCCGAAACGTCCAAATCGTTCCACATCGAACGATTCTTGGTCGCCCGCGGCGTTCAAAGTTGAACGCCGCTGGCGGGGTCGCCGCTGGTCGACACGACACGAGCCTACCGTAGAAGACGACTCCTGTCTTGATTCTCCAATACGTTGGACGATGACAGCGGCGGCGGCGACGACGACGACGGGCGACTAGGCACGACGATAATGAGACGCCGAAACCGATGGAACCTTTCCTCCTGGATGCGACAACGACGGCTGCGACGTTGACGAGAACAACGACGACGACGACATGCCGCAGCCTGCTTACCCGCTGCGTCCAGGGCCGCGTCGCCGTTGCCGCCGACGCCCACCCAGGAGCCTTACGACGACGTTATTTTCTACTTCACCTAACTTTGCACACTGCGCCCTAACATGCGCGACTCGCGCTTGTTTTCGCATCCGGACGAGCCACCTCGGAGAGAGGCGGCTCTCCAGCCCAGGCCGCGACGCGCGATCCGTGACTATCTTCGCGCCCTTGGGGGTGACCTCGATTCGGTTTAAACGAGAAGGCAGAAGACCCACCCCACACGTGAGAAACACCCATCCCATGCGGGTGAAGCCCCATGCATGGAGGAAACCAAGTAGGTGGTTTGGACTGCGGAGGCGCCTTCCCCCCTGGTCTCCTGGTTTTCTAGGTCGCTGAAAGAAGCCTCCTAAACGGGGTTCGATTCGGAAAAGGGTCGGAGGATCTCGCCGCCTCGCCGATGCATCGGCGATACATCGCCGAAGCATCGGCGATGCTGCGGCGTTGCATCGGCGACGTCGGCGTTGCATCGGCGACGTCCGCGCGGAGAAAGCCCGGCTCCACATCGAGCCGCGTCGCCGATGTATCGGCGATGCGGCGCGCTGCTCCGACCCCGTCTCCTTGGCCTCCTTGGTAGAGGGGGAGGAGGAGTAGGGTGAGGAGGATGAGGAGAAGGACGAGGAGGAGGATGGGGAGAAGGACGAAGAGGAGGAGGGGGATGAGGGGGAGGAGGAGGAGGAGATTGACGAGGAGGCGGAGGAGGAGGAGAGGAGGAGGAGGAGGAGGGGGGGGGAGGAGGGGGAAGAGGAGGGAGGAGGAGGAGGAGGAGGAGGGGAGGAGGAGGAGGAGGAGGAGGAGGAGGAGGAGGAGGAGGAGGAGGAGGAGGAGGAGGGAGGGGGAGGAGGAGGAGGAGGAGGAGGAGGAGGAGGAGGAGGGGAGGAGGAGAAGGAGGGGAGGAAGGAGGGGGAGCAGGAGGAGGAGGAGGAGGAGGAGGAGGAGGAGAGGAGGAGGAGGAGGAGGAGGAGGAGGAGGAGGAGGCTGAGGAGGGGAGGAGGGGGAGGAGGAGGAGGAGGAGGAGGAGGAGGAGGAGGAGGAGGAGGAGGAGGAGGAGGAGGAGGAGGAGGAGGAGGAGGAGGAGGAGGGGGAGGGGGGGGAGGAGGGGGAGCAGGGCGCCTCGCCCACCCGATGGATTTCGGCGGCGGCACGCGGCACGGCGACAGCCGCAGCGGCGGGCGGCGCGGGTCCCACCTCGGTGCCGAAGTTGAGCAGGGCGAGCCACGGGGCGCGCGCGCACGCGCGCGCCTCTCTCGAGGCCCCCCGAGCCGCCCCACCGCTACAACAAGAAAACAAAACGAGTTGAAAACGAGCACCAGGGAAGGAAAGTTTGAGACCAGGAGCCCGTTTCGGCCGCCTTGGGCCGAGGCCCAGAAGCAAAAAGCCCAGGGAGCCCACGGCGGGTCTAGAAGGAGCGCACGCGGGCCCAGGCACTCTGCTAGCTCCTTCACCTCTGACTAATCTCAACCGGTCAACTCCAGGATCGGCTGAGGCAAGAGGGCGAGGGGCTGGGATCACTCTCGAATTGGGCCTCCCCTCGTCGCTGGGATGAAATCCAGCGAGGAAGAGGCGACGATTCCGTCGAGCGTGCTCGCCCAGTGTCGGGGGCGACGCGCAATCCAACAACAACTGGCCAGCCAGGCCTGTGGTGTAATATCCACATCGCACACAGAGGACAACCGACCCTTGGGACACCCACAGAAAGTGACCTCGGGCATGCTGGGACTGCACCATCCCGTGCGCGGGCAGCACAGCAGCGGGGACAGTGGCCTGTGCAAGCGACGCTCTTCCAGGCCCAAGCTGCTGGAACGTGCCTAGTCGCGGGCGGGCGTTCCGTGTTGGGGGCACAAAGGCGGGTCCTTCACGAGGGGGAGCGACGAGGCTCACCGACGGGGGAAGGAGCGGGCGAGAATCAGGCGAGAGAGACCGATCTTCATGGACCACCTGTGCCAAAACTGCATTCGGGCTGATAACTGAAGCGGTGCGTGGACGAACTCTCCGCGCATCTTCCATTCGCATACCAGGTCCTTCACGGCGGTGAACGACAGACGACCTCTCAGACGAGACAAGAGGGCGGGAGCCGGGGGAGGGAGAGGACCGATCAAAGGCCTGTATAGCTTGGTTAAGTACTTCCATATCAGGTGTGCGCATTGAAACCGTGGTGGCGAAACGAACCTTGGAGCGCACAGCGCGTTCAGGCGGCGAGGGCGACCGACTCCGAACATTGCCAGCTCGGTCCGTCGTGCGAGGCCTAACCGTGCGCCCCCCTGGCGGGCTTCGCGAGGCGGGTCGCGTCAGACTCTCCGCACCCAGCGAGCCTCCCAATTCGCCACGAGGGGCCAAGGCACGGGCATGGCAAACCCAATTGGAGAAACGCAGAACGCTCGCCTCAGAACGGGCCCCTATCTTTAAACATTGCAGCGCCAGAACTGCTGGCGCACTGGGGGAAAAACATGTTTTTGGTGAGCCTCAAGCTTGGCGATCTTGCGATCCACCTTCTTAGATTTCAACTTCCTAGGCCGAGTGAAGGTGTCCACCCTGCAGTGGGGCATGTGAGACTCATGAGCCTGCAACAACCACTTGATGGTGCCCCGAACGGATTTCAAGGCGATCTTCATTGCTGTGAAAGCTTGCCTACTTGCTGCGTGCAGATCCCGTCCCTGCTGCGCAGCAAGATCAGCCCTTCTGTTAGAGCGAGCCTCCAGGCTATTGCCAGCCTGGTGGCCACGAACGTGGGGCACCCGAAGGGCCTCTCCAAGGCCTCCATGGTCCTCTATATTCCTCCAGATGGCCTCCCAGTCAGTATTCGGGCGCCTGGGACCACAGCTAAACCCAGGACCGAGCTCGAGGCCCTCGACGAGGCCGTAGAAATCAGTGTGCACATGCAGGGGCAGAATACAAACCTGTAAAACTTGCAAGGACGCATATAGCTCAGCTCGGGGTGAACTCTGAACGGGTCCAGGTAGTGCCCCATATACAAGTAGCTGGATATATCACGCATGCTATATTTGATGAACCCCCATCCCGCTCGGTTCGCCTCAAGCCAGTACCATACTTTTCTGCACGCACCGTCCGCGTAGATGCCCCCTGTGACGAGGTCGAGGGGACCGTGCTGGATGTGCCACCGTCCACTATCATCCCGACGGGGGACAGGCGGCATGCACGAGCGTGGAGCCATGCCCCGCGTCCAAAACCAGAGGCCGTGAGAGCGGGGAGGGAGGCCGCGTGTAGCAATACTCCGCATGACTTCACGCTGTAACTCAGCTCGTCCGTCACACTCCCAAGGTATATGGTATGATGTGCACACTTCACATGTACATGCAGGACAACATGATGTGCGCGCATAGCCGCGCCGATAAAGTCGCTGCGGAGACCACAGACCTCCCCCCACAAGTGTCCTTCAGAGCCCGTGCTGCAAGACCGTCAGCTCCCATGGTCCCTCGGGGCCCAGCTCGGGGCCAAACTCAGGATCATGGGGCCGATTTTTGGGGAGGCCAATGATGGGTTCCATCCAGTATCCGAGGGGCCCCTTGGGGTCCATGACCTCATCTGCTGGGTTGGGTCGTTTACTACAGGCCTCCCATAAGCGACGAACTGCTGCAGCTCGTGCTAGGTCTCGCACCGTCGTCGGCGCATCAACTAAAATACCCAATTGGTCGCCGACATCCGTGGTAAGTCTGGCTGCTGAGCCCGACGTCCAACCTAACGCCTTGACAGCCATCAGCATAGCGCCTGTGGGTCCAGCGACATGAGCCCATGGCGTAGCTGCACGAAGGGTGCGCAACAAAAACTTGACGGTGCCACGCGCGCTGGAGAACGCTATGCTCAACACCTTTGTCACGAAAGAGTAAGGCCCATTCGAATATCGGCTGCGTCCAGCAGGCAGCTTGGGGATCTTCATACATGGAGCCCTGTAGGCACGACGTAAGCCATGCCGAAGTGGTGGATCCTGGTGCGTACCAGGTGCCACGCATGATTCGCCTCATAGCCTCGACCAACTGCGGTGGGGCCCCGTGAACCCCCACCCCGTACTGCATGGCCGAGGGCAGGGCCTGCTTGGCGAATCTAGCGGCCAGGGGCCCCGCCATTTGAACACGCTGAAGACGAGGCTTACGTTTACGAACCCGAGCCACTCGATCCCGAAGACGACCGTAATGCATGGGATGACCAGCGTTCACCTCAACCCCCAGAACCTCCAGGGCCGAACGGCACTGAAAGCCTAGCTTCGACAACCTCCGAGCGATGGACCTGCCAACCTTCCCCGAGGAACTCGTAAGAGTCATCTTGTGCTGAGCAAGCGGCAATCCAACAGCGCGGAGCAAGGCGACAAGGACTGTGAGGAAAGAGCAGGCAGCATCAGCAATAACTTTAACCGTACCCATAATGGCAATCGTGATGTCGTCGGCGTAAACGTCGGTCGATCGTCGAATATGCCCAGTATGGCGATGCAACGAGTCAAATGGGGTCAGCATTACACACTGCAGGCAAACCATTGCAAACGGGCAGTCTGAAAGTATACCCTGGGTAGCCCATATCGGCGCAGAGTAGCAATAACCCCAAGAGACACGACGGGCAGCAGCATACATTCTGGCGGCGAGAACCATCAGGACCGAGGGAAAGTTGTGCTCCACGGCTGACCCGAGCAGCCGTCTCCACGGCACTCGGCCGAAACTCTTTTCAATATCTATGATGGCATGCACAGTGCATAATGCTGTCGGCCCCGCCGCCTCTAGTGAGGTCGCTTCAGCATGTGCAAGCAGGCGAGCTGCAACGTCTGTAGTACTCTTCTGCACTCCCAATGCGAGGTGGCCCCGATTCAACGAACTGGCCCAGGAACGCACCCAATTCAACCGAGCTTTGCCCCAGAGCCTGTAAATAGAAGCCAGTAGCGCTATTGGCCGATGTCCCCCCGACGGCTTGATCAGGAGTACGATATGAACGCGTGTGGGTAATGTCGGTCATTGTCCCCACGTTTCGCACAAGTGCAATGCATAAGCCACGGCAGCCAGAGCTCCACTTGA